CGAGCCTTGGGAGCATACGAGCCTTGGGAGCATACGAGCCTTGGAAGCACACGAGCCTTGAGAGCATACGAGCCTTGGGAGCATACGAGCCTTGGGAGCATACGAGCCTTGAGAGCATACGAGCCTTGGGAGCATACGAGCCTTGAGAGCATACGAGCCTTGGGGGCACCCGAGCCTTGAGAGCACACGAGCCTTGAGAGCATACGAGCCTTGAGAGCATACGAGCCTTGAGAGCATACGAGCCTTGAGAGCATACGAGCCTTGGGAGCATACGAGCCTTGGGAGCATACGAGCCTTGGGAGCATACGAGCCTTGAGAGCATACGAGCCTTGAGAGCATACGAGCCTTGGGAGCATACGAGCCTTGGGAGCATACGAGCCTTGGGAGCATACGAGCCTTGAGAGCATACGAGCCTTGGGAGCATACGAGCCTTGGGAGCATACGAGCCTTGAGAGCATACGAGCCTTGAGAGCATACGAGCCTTGGGAGCATACGAGCCTTGGGAGCATACGAGCCTTGAGAGCATACGAGCCTTGAGAGCATACGAGCCTAAATATACGAGCCTTGAGAGCATACGAGCCTTGGGAGCATACGAGCCTTGGGAGCATACGAGCCTTGGGAGCATACGAGCCTTGAGAGCATACGAGCCTTGAGAGCATACGAGCCTTGGGAGCACACGAGCCTTGAGAGCATACGAGCCTTGAGAGCATACGAGCCTTGGGGGCATACGAGCCTTGGGAGCATACGAGCCTTGAGAGCATACGAGCCTTGGGAGCATACGAGCCTTGAGAGCATACGAGCCTTGAGAGCATACGAGCCTTGGGAGCATACGAGCCTTGGGAGCATACGAGCCTTGGGAGCATACGAGCCTTGAGAGCATACGAGCCTTGGGAGCATACGAGCCTTGAGAGCATACGAGCCTTGAGAGCATACGAGCCTTGGGAGCATACGAGCCTTGGGAGCATACGAGCCTTGGGAGCATACGAGCCTTGAGAGCATACGAGCCTTGGGAGCATACGAGCCTTGAGAGCATACGAGATGTTGTATACACAACCTTGCGTAAGACGTTGAGCTCAGATGATCTTAGGATCTCTGTTTATTAAGCACACACGCTCATCAGATCAGCAGCACCACTGCAGGAATCTGCATCGTCATCCTATTTCCCTACGCTACGTCCAAGGGGCGTCCGGTATGAGTCCAGAATACAACATCGCTCCCACTGCGAGACGACAAGAAGGTCCACCTGTCGTTGACTTCGCTCAGAAGAATCTTGAGTTAAGGATCTGCAGAAGAAGAGGAAGAAGAGCGGCGGGAAGGTGACGCTTGAGCTAATAAAGAAGATTCAAATTGTTGAATTAAAGCACGAATACCAGATTTCTTGTTGAGTTCAGAAGCTGATTTCCAGGAGTGATCAGCTGGGTTAGGATAGCCTTTCCAATGAACAAGATATTGGATACCACGACCACGTTGACGTTTGTCGAGAATTTGTTCCACTTCGTATTCAAGTCCTTGAGCTGTCGAAAGAGGATCCGGTCGATCGACGTGAAGCTCGAAGTTGGGATCACGGTCCTGATGGGGGCGAAGCCACTTGAGGTTGAAGACGCTGTGTTCAAGATGACGAAAGCGATCTGTCAGTTCGAGATGAACAGTGTTGTCAGAAACAAAGGAGAGGATCTTGAAGGGACCGATGAAACGAGGACGGAGCTTGGGAAAGCTGTCGGTGATTGGAATATTCGTCGTTGAGAGCCACACGAGATCGCCGATGTTGAAATGGTGAGGGCGACGGTGGTGGTCTAGGGTTTGTTCAGTTGAACGAGCCATGTGATCGAGGGCATCGCGAGCTGCTTCCATGTGCACTTGGATGGCTTCGCGAATGTCTTCAGGATCATCAGACGAGTTGGAAAGGTCAGGGAGAGCCAGTTGAGTTTTGACGTTGCGGCCATAAATAATCTCGAATGGCGCAAGGCCTGTTGAACGTTTGACGGAAGAATTGTAATGCATCTCGAAGAGGGGAAGAAATCTGTCCCAGTCATGGTTGACGCGATTGGCACAGTAGATGCGAAGAGCTTCAATCAAGACGGAGTTGAGGCGTTCAGGTCGAGCATTGCCTTGAGGATAGTAAGGCGAAGAATGCTTGATTTTGACCTGCAAGATGTTGAAAAGTTTAGTCCAAAAGGCAGAAGAGAAGATTTTTGCATTATCTGAAATGATTTCGTTGGGAAGGCCTTGGTTGGCGCAGACTTTCGAAACAAAAAGATCGGCAGCTTGTTGAGAGGTGAGAGTCTTCTTGCATGGAGACAGAAAGACACGTCCAGAAAAGTTGTCAACACAAACGAAGATCGAGTCGTAATGAGAACGAGTAGGCGGGAAGCCGGAAACAACATCGATGGAGATTGTAGCAAAACGATCAGACGGAGCTGCTTGACTGTGCGACGGTCCCATCTGTGGCTTGCGATAAGATTTGTATTGGATGCAAGATTGACAGGAAAGGATGTAACGTTCGACTTGTTGACGCATCGAGGGCCAATAAACAACAGGAACAAGAGCCAAATATGTTCGAGAGAAGCCGCGGTGACTGTGAAGGTCATGGGCACGGTATAGAACTTCTTTGCGAACAGATTGAGGAATACAAATGCGTTGTCGGTGAAGACTATCTGTTAGAATCAGGAGATGATTTTCAATGTGAAAATGCTTGTACGATGGGTTGTTTTGAACTGCTTGATAGATTGTAGAAAAGTATGAACACGAGGAATATGCTTGGACGATTGCGTCGTGAAGAGATTCAACGAGAGAAGCATTATCAGCAGGAGCATCGAGAGCAAGGAGATGATGAAAATCTTGATCATCTGAATGTAGGATTGCGTCATCGCGTGGAGGTGCGACGTCGTCGTCGGGATATTGGCGGCTGAGAGCGTCAGGGACGACATTATCGGTACCTTTTACGTGCGCGATCTCGACGATAGAGAATTCACTGAGAGTTTCTAACCAGCGGCGAAGACGACCTTTGAGATCCTTTTGAGTTTGAAAGTACGTGAGAGCCTTGTGATCAGTACGAAGGATGATGGGCTTGCCAAGAAGATAAAATTGGAAGTGGAGAAGCACGTCTTTGATGGCCAAAAGTTCGCGCTCAGTGGTTTGATAATTTCTTTCTGCATCAGTAAATAGGCGACTGTAGAATCCAATGACTTTCTCTTTGTTGTCAGCGTCGTACTGAAGAAGAACACCGCCGAGAGCTGTGTTTGAGGCATCGGTGTGAACTTCTGTTCTAAGCGCTGGATCAAAGTGAGAGAGAATTGGGGAGGAGGTTAACCGGTGTTTGAGAAGATCAAAGGCTTGCTGACACTCGGGAGTCCATTGAAAGACGACATTCTTACGAAGAAGAGCATGAAGAGGAGCGGCAATGTGGGCATAGTTGCGAATAAAGCGACGGTAATATCCGGAGAGACCAACCTTCGCTACCATATGTTGTATACACAACCTTGCGTAAGACGTTGAGCTCAGATGATCTTAGGATCTCTGTTTATTAAGCACACACGCTCATCAGATCAGCAGCACCACTGCAGGAATCTGCATCGTCATCCTATTTCCCTACGCTACGTCCAAGGGGCGTCCGGTATGAGTCCAGAATACAACACGAGCCTTGAGAGCATACGAGCCTTGGGAGCATACGAGCCTTGGGAGCATACGAGCCTTGAGAGCATACGAGCCTTGAGAGCATACGAGCCTTGGGAGCACACGAGCCTTGAGAGCATACGAGCCTTGAGCGCATACGAGCCTTGAGAGCATACGAGCCTTGGGAGCATACGAGCCTTGGGAGCATACGAGCCTTGGGAGCATACGAGCCTTGGAAGCACACGAGCCTTGAGAGCATACGAGCCTTGGGAGCATACGAGCCTTGGGAGCATACGAGCCTTGAGAGCATACGAGCCTTGGGAGCATACGAGCCTTGAGAGCATACGAGCCTTGAGATCTTACGAGCCTTGGGAGCATACGAGCCTTGGGAGCATACGAGCCTTGGGAGCATACGAGCCTTGGGAGCATACGAGCCTTGAGAGCATACGAGCCTTGAGAGCATACGAGCCTTGGGAGCACGAACTGAAGGGGATACAAACTTGTAGCCTTCAAAGAGAGACGCAGATTTGCATGGGTGACGCAGATTTGCATGGAGTTTGAAGCTTTGAAGGCCAGGGAGATGAGGAGCTAATGAGGTGCTTCTGTACGAGTGACCTGCTTGGATCTCATACCCGTCTGCAGCATGTCAGCCCCCATTCAGATAGTTGGTTATCTCCCACTGAAACTAGCTATAATGAAATGGAAACAAGATAATGTATGGTAAACAAGGTATTGTTTGGTGAAGAAGTTGTTTTGGTTCATAACAAATTGAATCACACGATATTCGAGATCGAATTTCTTCAATAGAGTTTAATGATATAGACAACCAATCCCTAGTTTTGCACCAAGAAAATTCTTTTCTTCTTCTCTAAGTTTCTCATCCATTGCAATTGCTGCAAACTTTCCCATCTTGGGAGGATTCCAAGACACGAACCAGGGGGAGGCGTTGGCATTTCTATCCCACCCAACCTTGCCCCTTGCTCTCTTCCATGTGATCTCACTCTCGCAAGCTCTCTTGCATGTGATGTCACTCTCGCAAGCTCTCTTCTACGTGATGTCATTCTGGCAAGCTCTCTTGTATGTGATGTCATACTCGCAAGCTCTCTTGTATGTGATGTCATACTCGCAAGCTCTCTTGTATGTGATGTCATACTCGCAAGCTCTCTTGTATGTGATGTCATACTCGCAAGCTCTCTTGCATGTGATGTCATACTCGCAAGCTCTCTTGCATGTGATGTCATACTCGCAGGCTCTCTTGCATGTGATGTCACTCTCGCAAGCTCTCTTCTATGTGATGTCATACTCGCAGGCTCTCTTGCATGTGATGTCATACTCGCAAGCTCTCTTGCATGTGATGTCATACTCGCAGGCTCTCTTCTATGTGATGTCATACTCGCAAGCTCTCTTGCATGTGATCTCGGATCTGCCAGTGTCATCGGGCTCGACTTTGAAAGGTGGCTCTTTTCTGACGCAATTTTCAAAGGGGTAAATTGAGGGGTGGGGGGGTGGGTGGGTCCTGGAAGGGTTCAGGAAGGTCGAATAGAAGGGGTTCTTGGGGGCAGTGTAATAGAAATTAGGGGGTAGGGGTAGTGAAACGAGTGAATTTATAGGGTACAATGGTGGAGTATGTGGGGTAGGGGGTAGTGGAAGGAAATGAATGTGAAAGCGGTTTACAGCTTGAGAAAGATGGCGGGTGATCTTTAGGAAGGGAGGAGGAGGGACAGAAAATGAAAGAGCAGAGGAGGAGGAGGAGGAGGAGGAGGAGGAGAAGTGAAGAAGGAAAAGAGGAGAAGAAGAAGAACAGGAGGAGAGGTGAAGTCACACACTGACTTCAGAAGTAGAACCAAGGTATTAGGCAGGTGTAAGGGCAGGAAAGGAGGCAGGGAGGAAAGAAAAGAATGAACAGAGGTAAAGTGAAGAAGATGAAAAGAAGGATGGAGTGAAGAACGTCTCACAAACAAGCTCAAGTGAACGGTAAGGGAAGAGATGATAAGAGGTGGATAGAGAAACAAAACGTCGTGGGAAAGTCAGGGGAGGGTTCAGGATGCAAAAGATGTCCAGGGCGGAAAGAGAGAGCAGAGCGAATGATACCAGACGAGTCGATAAATATGAAGAATAGAAGGATGTTGAACGAGGAGAATGGAATGCGAAGACGGAGAAAGTGGTACAAAAAGTAACACCAGCTCATTGCGGGAGGAAATAAACTCATTGATGATAGCACATGAACGCACACGAGTGATGGAATCAAAAGACATGTTCTCTGATGTTTCTACTTCTCATGCTCTTGCCCAGGATGTTTCGCGCTAGAGATGTTCTTGCGGGGGCCCTTCTGTTCGCCTTCAGCCACCATACCGAAGCCTTCATGGGCTCGTCGCTCCCCTCCTTCAAGCTCAGATCCTCCAACGTCATGCGCTGCCAAGGGACTCCCCGACACGGCATTCTGTCCCTCAGGGCCATCGACACTCAGCAGGACAAGTCAGCTCGCACTGCAGTTGAGGAGTTCGTGTCCAACGGGAAGGCAAGGGATTGAACTGGGTGGGGAGGGGTCTGATGAGAGTTGACAGGAGATGAGCCTCTTTGCCAAGGAGCAGCTGTACCTTGATTGCTGTGCCGCCTACAACGTCGATGCAGAATCACTGCTGTCCGATGAAGATTATGAGAAGGTATGCCATGGCTCCGTCGGTCAGCAACCGAGTCCCTCATCCCCCTTCCCCCGCTGCTCCTCCTTGGCATACCATCCTCCTGACGAACTCTGCTGGACCACAGCTGAAGACAGATCTTACCTTCGAGGGATCACAAGTGAGACACCTCTGCTCCCTCCTCGCTCTCTGACCCCCCGCAGGTCATCCTCATGTCCAGAGAGGAGATCAAGTTCATGGTTGCAGCCAACAGGTACAACAAAGGGAAGCCCATCATGAGCGATGAGGAGTTCGACACCTTGCGGAAGAAGGTCAGGAGGAGGATGCGGCTGTGTTGAGCTGCTCACTGTCTCTCAGCTCAAGAACAAGGGTTCCTTGGCTGTCAAGCACGAGGCCGCCTCCTGCAAGCTGGACGAGAGGTCCGCTGCTTCTTCCTGCTGCTCCTTGCTCCTGCTCTGTCTCATCTGTTGGCATCCAGTGGACGCAAAGTCTGCAAGGCCGACATTTTCCCTGACGAGGGCAAGAACGCCCTGCTGTACACTCCTGCCTTGGTGAGGAGATGGAGGGAGGAGCGCGAAGATGGGAAGGAACACGTGGAGAGCGGGAGAAGATAGTGATGAGACAGGAGGGAGCGAGGAAGGACGAGGTCTGGGAGGAGAAGGCAGGGATTGATGAATGGGCTCAGGTATTGACCGCTCTGCTCTTCAACGAATGGGCGTTCTGGTTCAAGGTAAGACTCGTCCTATGTTGTCGCCCTAGCTCGAAGCCGTGGGGTGCTGCTGGGATCGTTAACATGTTCCTCCTTCCAGGGCTGGGACCCCATTCTCTCTCTCGTCCTCGGATCTCCCTTCATCGTTGTTGGCACCTACGTGCTCACCAACTTCATCTACTTCCAGAGCCCCTACATCGCCAAGGCAAGACCCGCCCTTCAACCCTCGGCCCCTACTCTTCACCCCCCTCTCCTCCCATCCCATCTTTTCTCCCTCCCGTCTCCTCATCTCCTCGTCTCCTTTTCCTCTCCACCCTCCATGTCATCTCCTCCTCCCATCCCGAGTAAGGGAGGAAGGCGTCCCGCCAGCACGTGACCGATGGCGGCAGGCAACGTGCCCCTCCTGCGGCACTCCTCAGAACATTTACTTTGGAGACATCCTCTGGGTTTCGGGAAAGCCGGTGGAGAGCTCAGTGCAGACGCAATGCTGCAACAAGGCATGTGGCGTCGAGCTCGTGGCCGACAAGAAGCGCATGATCGTCGAGTCGTTCTCCAAGTAGGCGCCGAAGGCATATGAACCGGACTATTGATAAAAAATCTGCAGCTTTGACTAGATCTGTTCCTGCCCTTCATACCCCGCCCCACTTTTGATCGCTCTCCATTCACACTCGCCCCCCGCCCCCCCCGCCTCCGGATCCGCTTTTTGAGCTTCGGAGGCTGAGCCGCCGCTCTCCCGGCGTTTCACTGTCAGGATGCCACTTAAGAAATAATGAGGGAATGCCAACTGGGTCGCGCACTGCCGCAGGGACGAGGAGGAGGAAGACTGAGAGGGGAGGGGTGGGAACGCACTGAGTCCTACCGTACTGTGACTGCTCCAGGATGATCGGGTTGTACGAAGTTTTGCCTGCTGCCTTCCTCTATGGCCCAATTACCAACACATAAGGAGGTTTTATAATTATCCTACAAAATAAGAATTTAATAAATATTTACCTGCGAGAGCTCTTAGAATTGATCGAGATTGGATACAAAGCGTAAGACAAATTGCTACCAATTTTTATAAAATGTTATTATTTTGTACCAGTATTTGTACCAGGAATTCTGGTACAAGATGAGCGACGACCCCAACACTCAAGCAGAAGACACGCCATGGCGCGAGCGGGGAAGATGATGGCGATGGTGATGGCGAGCGTGATGGCAAGCAGCGCTGTTTGCTTCTCTCCTTCACTCCCATCAATGACCAGGGCGGGACCGATGAGACGGAACGGAAGCAATGTGAGATGGCGGTGTATCGTTCCTTCGGTTAAGATCCTCATGCTGCTTCAGGCCAAGATGCAGTTCGGCGACTTCAAACTTCCTGAAATCAAACTTCCTGACTTCTCCAATGCCTTTCAGCCACAGCCCAAGCCACAGGTAACGCCGACCTCACGTGATGCTCGCTTGACTCCTCCTGCAGGCACAGCCCGCCCAGGCAAAGGCTAGAGTCATCGCAGGCAAGTCACTACTAAAGTGCTTTACTCGCGCCTGATCCGATCTTCAGTCACCGGGAGCTCCGGCATGGTCGGGTCTGCTCTCTGCAAGTCGCTTGAGGCCGACGGATTGGAAATTGTTCCCATCCGTAGGGGTGAGAATGGGCAGCTGCAGGCAAGTTACCCATACAGACAAGACGTGCGATGACGTTTGCTATGTCAGATCTCGAGCGAGGATCTTGCCAACGTGGATGCCATAGTGCATCTTGCTGGAGAGAACGTCGCCACAGGCAGCGGTCCTCTCGGTTGGCTCGGCATCCAGGTTCGCCTCAGCGTCATATCGCATCTGCCGCTGACTCAGCTTAGGCTTGGTCCGAGGCCAAGAAGTCGGAGATCATCAAGTCGCGCAAGGAAGGCACAGAAGCCGTGGTCGAAGCCATCAATGCATGTCCAGCTGGGAAGAAGCCCAAGACACTCGTCTGCGCTTCCGGCGTTGGCTTCTACGGCTACACCACTGAGGATGCGGTCGTGGACGAGAGCTCACCTATGGGGACCGGCTTTCTTGCTGCTGAAGTATGCCCCACTTGGGAAGCTGCTGCAAGCCAAGCGTCTTGCAGAGTGGTGATTGCCAGGCTTGCTCCTGTTCTCAGCAACAACGGAGGAGCTCTCGGAAAGCTCCTGCCCATTTTCAACCTGGGAGGAGGAGGGATCGTGGGCTCTGGGAAGCAGTACTTCTCGTGGATCTCTCTCCGGGACTGCGTCAAGGGTATCCGCTACATGATAGACACTCCCTCCCTCTCTGGACCTGTCAATCTCTGCTCCCCTCAGCCCGTGACCAATGCTGACTTCACGTCTGCTCTTGGGAAGGCTCTTCAGCGACCAACCATCCTTCCCTTCCCTGACTTTGCTGTTCGCCTCCTCTTTGGACAAATGGGAGAGGAAATGCTGCTGGGAGGACAGAGGGCCATGCCCAGCAAGCTTCAGGTTGTTCTCGTGCTCCTAACGCCCTAAATGACTGTGCGGCAGGCGGCGGGATTTCAGTTTCAGGATAATACCATCGATGAGGCCCTTGCTGCTACTTTGAAGTAGGCGTTGAGACATTTTGAAGAAGTTTTGGGAGGTTGCATTTTGTTGAGAGTCTTTAGAGCAAGGAAAGTTATTTATGATTTTAAGACTAGAATACTGCATGAATCACACAGACACCTCAAGCTTCTTGTTTCGCAAAAACAAGATGACCATTTGCTCAGATGACTGCTTCACAGGAGAGTTACACTATAAGGAAATAATTTGCTTTGTCGAACGGAAGTTTGCTATCACGTCATAAAGACAGACTGGGATATTACTGGGACTCCTCTGCGTCTTCTGGTTGCTTCTCAACAGCTTCTTCACCGTCAGCACCTGTGACTATCCGTCAGTTCCACAAGAATTCCATCACTGCAATCACCTTCCGCTGCGTCGCTGTTTTCCGAATTCTCTCCCTTGTTTGCATCTTCGGATTCTTCTTCTTTGCTTTCATCTTCGTGCTCAGAAGCCTCCGCCTGATCTTCCTCTGCATCCTCCATTTTGTCCTCAGAGTTTTCATTGGTTTGGGGATTCTCTTCCGCGGGACTTGTACCATCCTTTTCCTGTTGCTTCTTCTCCTTCTCCTCCTTCGCTTTCTTTTCATAATCGGCTTTTTGCTCAATGCTCAAATCCTTCCACATCTTCCCCAACAACGTTAAGACATGTTTTGGCTCCATGTCGGGATGCTCTTCCTTGACCTTAGCCCTCTGAATGAAAAATTGTTACCCCAAGGCAGAACGAAAAGGATAGTACCGTCTCGGATACGAAGATGATGTATGCGCTCCTAGCTTTCTTGGGTTTATTGCCCTGAGCAGCCTTTTTCTCAGCGTCGAACTGTTCTTTCTGTTCCTTGTATTGGGCCTTCAACTCTTCAGCTCTATCCACCCATGGTTTTTTGGCCTCATCACCAAGTTCCTTCCACATGGCCGCAAGTTCTGCCATTTTCAGAGGCGTCGTATTGCCAGCATCCTTGTGCTCTTGACGCTTGTCCTCAGAAAACAACATGTAAGCAGACAGAGCTCTTTTAGGGCCTTCTTTCTCTTTCTTCTCCTTCTTCTCCTTCTTCCCCTTCTTCTCGGATTTGTCCTTGTCCTCACTGTCCTTGGAGTTGGCATCGGAGATTTTTGCTTTCTTCGATTTACGAGGCTTCTCAACGCCAGATTCGTCAGAATTCTCGCCAGATCTTGCTTCTTTGACAGGGGTAGGAGCCTTGGAGTCATCGTCTGCATTGCGCTTTTTGGATTTGACTGGCTTTGACTTTTGAGCCTGTTCAATCACAACAAAGGTCTCAATGAAAGATTTCGATGGCCCTGAATCCATTTCAGTCAAGAAGCTGATTCACAGACAAGGAAAAGGCAACCTCCTCGAGAGCATTTCTTGATGCCCCAATAGTAACTGGCAGCAGGTGCGCTCTCGCCACACCCACAGTCGCAGGTTACAAAAGATGATTTGTCTGTCATAGAATGGTCAAACAATCGATTGATCAGGAGCAGATATCAAAACCTGGTCCATAAACCTTGACCGATCCTGTTTTCGCTGACATTGTGGCCTGCAATCGATCAGTCACTAACTAACAATGCCATGAGATACGAACGTTGCATTTCACAACAGAGTGCAAAGCCAAAGAAAAACAACGATCGAACATGCCATCGTGTAAAATTTTAAGCATTTGACCTCTCATGTGGTTGCAACATTCTATAAATCAACATGATTCGCGAATGCGACAAGTGTTTTCTATACACTCTAAGAACACAGGAATTCTGAAACTCATGCAAGATCCACGCGTAGCGACGCATCACCACAAACACGACCAGGAAAGTCTAGCTCAAATCGAAGATGTGGAGTCTGACCAGCAGAGAAGAGCTAAGGGCAGAAGGAGCTTGCGAGAATGCAAAGCGGAAAGAATGAGTTATCGAGAGAACGCATGGGGGTGATGGAGGGCGGTGCAAATCGCATGTATGGTAATATGCATATTGGGTCAGAAGGAGGACGAAAGGATACAGCAATGCTCATTCCATGATGAGGGAAGGAGGACATGGAAGGATCTAGAGGTGGTGGCAGCGCAGTCTTTGACAGCATGTCGTCCATGCCGGGTTTGTGGGTTCAAGTGGCGGAAAGGGCGGGAAAATCTTTTCAGTGGAGATAAATTAAAACTAGTTTTTGTTCTACAAATAGATGTTGTTTTTGTACAGAACTATGTAGAGAGCCCTCTAGTTTTGCTAAAGAAAAATTGTACCAGGACTAAATATTTTTATACAAATATTTTAGTTATGTCGTGCTTCTCGAATAAATGGTACATTGCAAAAATACATTTATTAAAAAAACCGAAGATGAACTCCCGCGCCGAAAGATCCCTTCAGATGATCACCGGTGATTTTGAGTGAAAACTTAGTGGACCGGTACAGGGATACTCATTCCAGGAGACCACCGGTGGGTCTAAGTGCATTCGAATGGGTGGAAAATAGGTGGACCTGTACCGGTTCAAAGATCAAATAAAACCACCGGTACACTTGAGACATCCGTGTATACGATCACACCCCTGCTTTGTACCGATAAAGAGGGGAAATGAATGGGGTAGGTACTGTAGTGGCATATTGGCGGGGGACTTTCAAAACAACATTTTGCATTTCGTCAAAGCGAGGAGGGGACCAAGGCAAGGACAAGAGCAGGAGCAGCAGGAGCAGCAGGAGCAGTAGGATCAGTAGGAGCAGTAGGAGCAGTAGGAGCAGGAGCAGTAGGAGCAGCAGGAGCAGCAGCAGCAGCAGCTGGCGGAGGAGGCGGAGGGAGCAAGAACAGCCAATTGAAACATCACGAAGTGACACACGAACACGAAGAAAAGAAATCAAGTGGAGGCTACAACAAAGGCGACTATAAGAAGAGCCAGAGCGAGACGAAGGAACAATTGCCTCCTGAATTACTGCTGCAAACAGGAAAAGGAAAGCGCCGGGCTGTCATGTTCACAGCTAGTACCCATGAAGCAAACATCTTGTTCGAAGGCATTGCTCTTACCCTGTCATCACTCGGCGCAGTGAAGGGGTTTGAGTTCATCGAGGACAAACTTGTAATCCGACTTGACGAGTTCAGTGGTATCTTGTGCTTGGAGAAGACTGGCGAGCTGAAAACTTGCGAGCCGTCTCTGCAATGCGAGGCTGAGGATTTGAGGCCCAAGAAAAGGAGCCGCTACGGAGAAACTCTACGTGTGTCAACAGTGTGTCAAGTTGCTCAACGGCTGGATGAGGAAAAACCACGATCACGATCAAGAAAGGCTGAGGCTGTAGGGGATGCAGACAGCGTCTCTAACAAAGACGCAAAGCCCCAAGATGTTGTCAGCCAGGGGAGGTCTTTGCGGAGGGGCGTGAGGCAGATGCAGCTGGATGAAAAGCTGGCGAAGCAGCTGCAAATGGAGGAGGAGAAGTCTGCGAGGCAGCTCAAACCCAAGTGACTCGCTGGCGGCTGATTGCTCTTGCTGACAAGCCCTCAGGTGGGTCCGCATGAAAGGCGGTGGCGACAGGCCGTCCCCGCGGTGGGGACACACCTGCACTCTGATCAAGCAATCTCCGCCTGTCCTGCTCTTTGCCGGAGGAGAGACCGTTGATGCTGGCGGGACTCCCTCCACTTGCCAAGACTTCTTCGAGTATCATACGGACAGCGACTGCTGGGTTAGTGCGGGTCAAGATACAGCCAGTGGCAGGCGAGACTTAGCTGCGTGTTCTTGATATATTCAGTTTCTGTTTTTGAAGTTTGAATATCTCATGCGCGTTTTGTTCTATGCTTGCAAGCAGAGAATCCCCTTGACTGCTGTGTGGCAGGTCCTTCCATAGTTCCGTGCTGCTTGAAAACAGCAACGGGAGGATGCTGGTTGTGTTCGGAGGCGAGAGAGCTCACGAGCAGGAGAAGCAGGTGCTTAGTCAACCCTCCCCTGCGATGGACTCCGCCTGACCTCTGACAAGATGCTGTCGGATCTGATGATCATGGACTTGGACGAGATGGTCTGGTTCCGACCCAACGTCACAGGAGTCGGGCCGTGTGCTCGCAGTGGGCACAGCTGCGTGCGACTAGGTGAGAGGAGGGCAGGGAGGAGCGCGGCAGTGATCGCACTTCAGAGCAACACTGCATCGTATTCGGGGGCTCCAATGGGGACGAGTACTTCAACGATGTCTATGTACTGGACACGACGCACTGGAACTGGTGACTGACCTCGCTGGAATCGTCTCCCTGATACAAGGGGACCAGGTTTCAGCCGCCTATCTTGGGGAACAGCCCGAGTCCTCGGGGCTACCATGCTGCCGTCGTGCATGACAGTAAGATGTACGTAGTCGCAGGAGACTCGCGAAATGGGGGTGAGTCAGAGAGTCGCTCTGAGATCCCCGGTGGGGTGGTTGAACTATCCCTGACAGCGCTGTCGGATATCCACTGCCTTGACCTCTTCACGTGGGAATGGAGCGAGATCAAACTGACGGGAGACAAGCTGGATGTAGCTCTTGCTGCCCCCTTCTCTTGTGCCCTAGGAGCTGACGTAGGATGCAGCCCGCCTGTGGGATGTGCGCCACTGTCAGCGGTACTTGTGATGTGCGCAGGAGGAGCATGTGTGACCCTTGGACACAGGCAGTCAAATCCTCGTCCATGGTGGTTGGGGCAAGAACGGGAAGTTCAGATCAGGTCAGGAGCTCTTAGAGAGTTGCGATCCCCTCCAGCTGAGCTGCTGAAACCTACAGGGAAGACCTTCCTGATGATCGATACCGAAGATTTCAAGGTGAGAGCAGATTGTTCACCTGGCTGTGGGCTGACGGCTGTTGGTGTCAGTGCCGAGCTGTGATCGCTGATGGAGATGCTCCGTGAGTTGTCAAGACAGCTCGACTTGTGTTGGGTGATTTCTCAACGGACAGCAAGGAGTGTGCTGGGCACACTTTGACGGCATACAGCAACGGCAGCGCTCTGTTGTTTGGAGGACAGGTCTTTCTGTGAGATGTGCTGTGTTGCTCCTCTGACGGGTATCGCTCAAGGATTCTGATGAGACCTGTCTGAACCAGGTGATCTTCTTGATTCGCTTCCTCCTCGTCCTCGTCCTCCCTGCCTCCTCCTTCTCACTTCCTCCTCCTCGCTTCCTTCACCCCCTCGCTTCTTCTTCCTCCTGCATGCTTCTTCCTCCTCTTCTCAAGTTTTAGTTCTTCAGGTCATCAGCCTCAGGCTCAAAGATTGAGTGGAGGAAACGGTGCTTCACTATCAGGTTGTGAGAAGATTCTCCGGCAGCCCCAGCAATGAAAACAAACTTAATCTCGTCTCCGTCTCGGCTCCACCCGTCGACTGTCGAGATTTGCCAGCTGAAGTCCTGCTGGGAGGATGCTGATGAGAATGGCAGGCATGTAGGAAGATAGGGAAGGAACAAGGAAGGGAGGGAAACAGGCTGGACGAGGGGAGGGAGGGAGGGAGGGAGGGAGGAGCTACCTGGAGGGGTTTGGGGAGTTCTTCTGAAGGAGAGAAAGTCGAGGAGACTTCAGCCCGTTAGATGCTCGTAGAGAGTCAGCTGGGGTCGGTGCGAGCGTGTCGCCGGCATGGGACATGCTGGGGTTGTCATTCTCCCTCTGCCTGCTCTCAGCCCAGGGCCTCTTGCTGGTGTGAAGTCTCGGGGACGGAAAGCCGAAGCGGGCGGGACTTGACCAGTCGTCGACAGCGTGCGGGAGAGGAGGGGGGTTCCTAATGGAGTCGCGCTGTTCGCTCCTCCAGTCCGGAGATTTGAAGGCAGGAGGAGTCGCGTACCAGTTGCGATCTGATGGGCCGAGAGATCAGGAAGGAGGAGAGGAGAGGGCAAGGAGGAGTGTCGAGGTTGCTGCGGGGGATGGAAAGGAAGACGAAGAGAGGGAAGGAAGAGAACATGGGAGGAGATGAGGGGCACAAGGGAGGGCAGGAGAAGCGGGAGAAGAGGGAGGCACCTTCAGTCTTGTCGTCTCTGTGAGGAGCTTGCGATAGAGAGGATCGTCGGATGGTCTCTATGTAGCCGTCCAGGAGGCTCCTCATGCTCTTGATCTCCTGCGATCGCGCTCGATCCGTCTGCGCGAAGGTTCTGATCCGGTCGACATAGTCCTCCATCCTCGCCGACAGCTGCCCCCCATGTCAGTTCGCAGCGGAGAACAGTGAGGAGCAGAGGGCAGGAGCAGGAGCAGGAGGAGGAGGAGGAGGAGGAGGAGGAGGAGGAGGAGGAGGAGGAGGAGGAGCAGATGGCAGGAGCAGGAGGAGGACGAGGAGGAGGACGAGGAGGACGAGGAGGAGGAGGAGGAGGAGGGGCAGGGGCAGGGGCAGGGGCAGGGGCAGGGGCAGGGGCAGGGGCAGGGGCAGGGGCAGGAGCAGCATGGCTGGTCTACCGATTGCAGGTCGGTGCCATTGGCGGTCTTGATGGTAGAAACCTCTCGCAGGCGGATCCTGGCAGCAGACAGTTCTCTCTCTACCTTCTTGAGCTGCAGCTGCAGCTGAAGCTTCTCGTCTTGCGCGTGCTCGAGGACAGTCAGCGCGTTAGCCCTCTCATGCTCCAGCTCGCTGAGGAGAGCCATCTTTTCGTGCTCTTCCTTCCTCACCCTCTGCTGCTCCTCCTTCAGCTCCTCTCTGTTGCTCCTCAACTCTGAAGCCAGCAGCTTCACCTCCCTCTCCTTGTGCTTCAGACATGCGTGCATGTCAACAAGGTCGCTCTTCAGCTCGCTTCCCAGCACGTGGAAGGCGTCAACTGTCTGCGCGATCTCCGAGTGACACTTCCTTCCCCTCTCCCGGGCCTCCATCATTCTTCTCCTGCTCTCCTCCTTGTCCAGCTCCAGCTGGGCCTTTCTGTTTGACAAGGTGTCAACCTCCAGCTCCAGGTTGCAGCGCAGGAGCGCGTGCTCGTGAAGCATCTGCTTGCTGTTCCCCACCTCTCTCCTCAGCTGCCTGTTCTCTGCTACCAGCCTCTCCACCTTCCGCGCCTGCTCCTGCACCGCATCCTCCATGGCAAGGTAACTCTCCATCCCTTCACGTCGCACGCTCGCAACCTCCTCCACCAGCTCCTTCGCCCTCATCTCCGACAACTTGACCTTTCCCTGCAGGCCCCGGCACCTGCTCTCGAGCTCCCGAGCTCTCCTCTCCACTTCGCTCGCCATGCTTCTCAGCGCCTCCTCGGTGCTGGCAGCTCGAGTCCTGATCGCCACCTCCGCTTCCCCTCGAGCTTGCAGGCTGATGTGCGCCTTGAGCAGCGACTCCCTTAGCTCCTCCCGCTCTCCTTCCAGCGAGCTGAGAGTCTTTCTCAGCTGCCCGTACTCATACCGCGCTCCTTGCAGCAGGGAGTAGGAGGACTTGTGCGCTCGGTTCAGCTCCTCTACCACCAGCTGCAGCTCTTGCTCGACATCCCACACCTGACCCTGAAGGAGGCTGCAGCAGGAGCGGACCTCCGCACCCCACCTGTCCCTCAGGCTGCTCAGCTCTCGATTTCTCTCCAGCAGCTTCTCCTTCTCTCTTTCCTTCATGCCCAGAAGCAGCTCCAGCTCTCTCGCCCTCGCATCCTTCGCCTCCCCCGCCTCCTGCAGGTCCCGCAGCTTCCGCTGTGAGGCAGCAGCCTCGATCTCCATCCTCCGGTACAGGTCTGCGCGCTCCTCCTCCTCCCTCAGCAGCTCCTTCTGCGCCTTGTCCAACGCGCTCCACCGGGTCTCAGCCAGGGCTCGCGATTCAGCAGCAGAGCGTTTGAGCTCGTTGACCTCCAGCAGCGCGTCCTGCAGCCGCTGGTGCAAGACTTTGTTCTCCTCCTCCAGCTCCGACGCTTTCTCCGAGGAAGACACCAGCTGACGGGTCAGCTCGGCTTCTCGCTCCTCTGCTCCGCTCAGCCTCCTCCTCAGCTCCACCTCGGAGCTGGCGAACGCCCTCCGGACATTCTCAACCTCCTCCTGCGCCTCCACCAGCTCCTCCTCTGCCTTCCTGTGCTGGACCTCGAGCTGGAGCCAGCTTTGGTGTCGCTTCGCTAGCGCCTGTTTGAGCTCCTCCACCTCCCCTTCCAGCTGGGTTCTCTGCTGCTCCCCTGCCTCCCTCAAAGCTGCGAGCTGACCCTCCAGCTCTCCTCTCTCCTGCTGGCTGTTGGCTGAGAGAACCCGCAGCCTCCCGTCGGCACCGGCAAGTTTGACCTGCACGCGCAGTCAACAGCGATGGGGATGGAGGAGGAGGAGGAGGAGTGAGACAAGAGGATGTACGTTATGGCAGGAACTGACGGGCAAAGAGAGGAGGTCGAAGAGAGAGGGGGGAGGAGAGGAGAGGAGGAGGAAGGAGAGCGGGGGGAAAGGGGGGGGATTAACGAATGGAGGGTGGACAAGAAACGGTGAGTAGGGCGGAAGACAGGCGGGGGCAGACAAGGAGGAAGAGGAGGGAGGACGTGTGTATCTTACCCGAAGATCTTTTTCCACCTCCTTCCTCGCGCACAGACTTTCCTCGAGGTGTTTCAACTGCTCGCCAAGATCTTCCAGCTCCAAGTTCTTCCTCGTAAGCTCCTCCTCCAGCTTCAGCCGCTGCTTCCTCTGCTTCTCCTCTGCGCTCCTGTGCTGACTCCCAGCAGCCTCCGTGAAGTTTCTGAGCTCGTCCAGCTGGAGGAGGACGGAGCGAACTTCGGTTGTCAGTGCCTGCAGCTGAGACTTTACAGCTCCCCTGAGATTCTCAGCGTCGCTCCTCGCATGCCGCAGCTTCTGCTCCAGGAAGACGCTGTTTGACTGTCCCTGCATCAGCTCGCCCCTGAGCTCCGCTACCAGCTGCTGGTTCGCCTCCTCCCTCCTCCTCCCCTCTGCCTCCAGCTGCTTGCGCTCACTCTGCTCCTCCTTCAGCCTCATCCTCGTCGTCGCTAGCTCCTGCTCCCCTCGCTGAATCTCTCTCTCCTTGCTCTCCACGCGATCCGACAGGTTGCCCAGCTGGTATCGGAGCTTGTCCAGTTCGCAGGACGCGGAGGTCAGAGAGTCGTTGATCTCTCGGTTCTTGCTCTCGAGCTGGCCGCTCAGAGTCTCCAGCCTGTCAAACTTGTCAAACTCTGATGGGGAAAGTCCTCAGGGCGAGTTTCACCTGGACCTCTGCTGCTCGGAGTTTGACAGGCTGTTCTTAAGAGATGCCAGCTGGCCTGAGAGCTCAGCGATCTGCTTGTCTCGCGCAAAGATTCCTTCGCTCTTCTCCCTGCTCCTCTCGTTCAGCTCCTCGTTCAGCCGCTTCAGCTCCCCGATCTGCAAGTTCAGCGCATCCTCCTCCCTCCCAGCCGCTGAGAGCCGCTCCTCCATGCTCGCCCTGACCTCACGCAGCTGCTGCTCCTTCTCCTCCAGCTGAGCCTCTGCCTGCGCCAAGTTCGAGCTGAGCCGACGAATTTCGGCGTCGAGGGAGCTGATCGCGTCCTCCTGGAGGAGGCGGAGCTTCGCCATCTCACCCTGCAGCGCCTCCTCCCTCCCCTGCATCTCAGCACGAAGACTCTCCATGCGGTCTGCGCTCTCCCGCACGAACGTCTCGTGCTGGCTCGTAGCATCGCCCAGGCTCTGCTGCATCCTTGCTCGCTCCTCCTCAAGCAGGGAGAGCTTCCTCTCCAGCTCGTCCCTCCCGCTCTCTGCTGCTGCAAGATCCTTGCGAAGCGCCTGCAGCTGGTCCACCATCTCTTGCTTCTCCCTCTCCGCCCCATCTGCCTCCTCCTCCCTCCTCTTCTTTGCCTCCTTCTCTTTCTCTTCCTGTCAGTCTTGTCAGTGAGGGCCCGCATACAAATATTCCTTCACCATCTTCTTTGCCCAGCTGCACTCCAGCTCTCCCAACCTGACCTCGAAGCTGCTCGAGAGCTCGTCGATCTTGATGCTCGTCGACTTCTTCTCATCCTCCAGCAGACTCTTCAGCTCGTCAATGCACTCCTGCGCCGTCCTTTGCTCCGATCTCGCAGCCTGAGCCAGCAATTAGCGAAAGGGAGTAGGGAGTCTGGAGAACACTTGTTCTTTCTCTGCGAGCTGACGATCAAAGGACGCTTGTCTCCCATCGAGCTCCTCCCTCAGCCTCTTCAAGTAGATCTCCTGCAGCGATGATAGGCCCTCCAGCTCCTGCACATGGTCCCGCAAGTTTTCTTCCACCTCCTCATTCCATTCAATGAGCTGTGCCAAGGGGTCAGGAGATGCTCTTTCCCTTCCCTCCACTCACACTCGCGATCAGGCTCTCGAGCTCGGCGATCGAGTTGTTCCCTGCTGCTGCCTTGACCGCTCCCTGCAGCTCGGCCAGTTTCATGAAGACTCCTTTGATCTTGCTCGCAACGAGTCAACGGACTCCCCGCAGAAGCAGCTTCACCTTCTCGACAGACCGGATGTCCGACCTGTGCATGCTGTACGTCTGCGCTTCTTTCCCCCGTTTCTGGATCTCGATGCGAAGAGCTGACCCGATCACGTCGGATCCTCGCAGCCTGACCCTCGTCGTCATCCTCACAAGGTCAAGGGAGGAAGGGAGCTCACAGCGGAATCACTGAGGAGGCGGTGACAGGTTGAAGCCCCGACGACCCCGTGGGGTCGATGGCGCGGACGATATCGCCCTTCTCGATGCGTCCTCCCTCGTGTACCCTGAGAGCGCCGCCATCAGCTTGTTGCCCTCACATGCCCTCCCCTCGCATGACCTGAACGCCGGACCTCCCGGGACTACCATGGTGATCTCGCAGCCTTCCAGCACAATACCTGCATCACAGACCATGAGTCCTCGGTCATTCCATATTGTCCTGCTCTCACCTACTGTAGACTTGATGGGAAGAACCTTGCCTGAATCCTTCACGCTGAACTTCTGACCGAGCTGTTTCTGTCTCTCCGCCATGGGAGTCTTGAGGTGCCGATCGACCTCCCCCAGCCAATCTGACGGCTCATCGAGGACAACAGGATCTCTTCCTGAACGTTCTCCCCTTGAGGCTTCTTCCCCTCCCCCTCCTCCCCCTCTGTTTGCCATAGGGCGGCGGTACGATTTTGGGTTGTTGACCACCGGCAGATGACCTGAGGCGGGTCTAGACTGACCATCATCAAGTTCCGCGGGCCGACAGTGCCGAGGCCCCGGCGTGACCCGGAGTCCGACTCAGTGTCAGAGTCATCATAATGATCGCCGTCATCCGTGGCCGCAGATGATGGCGGCCCGGGCGCGGCCCATGCGGGCGCTGACTCGGACACACTGCTCAGTGCGCCCGGCCCGGCTGCGGGGGGGCCGGCTGCGGGGGGTCAGTCCGGCGGCGCCGGGTCCTCAGCGGTCATGGTCAACAGTCACAGTTCAACCGTTTCAAGTTCATGTAGTCGTAGTCGGTCGGACATCAAAGACTAAGATCGCTGGGCCTTGATCCCCTACAAAGATGCTCCCGTTGGGCAAGGAAGCGATCGCGTTGACCTGAGCACAGAAGTTGAGTAGATAGTAGAAGAGCATCGGCAACGCCAGTTCACCTGGGATGTACATTTGAGGGTCAAGCAGTTGTGTGAGTGATATCTCGTCCCTCGCTGCACGCTGCTGCTGCCAGCCATGGTGTCCATCGATGCCAGCAATGACTCCCGCATCTCCTCTGGAAACGCGTCCAGCGGCTGCCTCGAGCTGCTGGGCTGGCTCAACTCTGTCACCGTCACAACCCCGTCGCTTCCTCCGCTCAACAGGATCCGCGATGAGTCTCCGAACTCTGCCTGCCGTCGGGCACACCATGGAAGTATCAGCAACACAAACATGCTGAGATCAAAGCATCACCCAAGCAACTGCTGATATCATGTTGCTAGCAGCCTCAAACTCGTGCAGACACGACTTGCCCTGGACCAACAAGGATTCTTTGAGAACAGATGGAAAAAAGCTCTCAAGATGGAGAAGTGTGAAATGAAGAGGGTGGGGGTGATGGTTGGGGTGGGAGTGGGAGTCACCTCTATGTCGAGCACAACAACATTCCCATCCCCGAGCCCAGCAGCAACCACATTGCCGCTGGGTTGACATGAAAGGCAATATGGGAACCTGGGGTTAACTGGCGCAAACGAGCTCAGCCTCAAGTAGCCAGTGAGCGACAGAGACTGACCCATCTGATTCTTGTTTTGCGAGGAAGAAGATGTCGTCACGTAGCAGAACAGCTGCTTGATCTTGTTGAAGTTCCAGTGCACCACCTCCATCAACCTTCACGCCTCACGCCTGGCCCGCCCCCTCCAGCAGCTACCTTCCCGTCCAGCCCGGCTGAGACAGCTTGCCATGGAGTGCCGCGACGGAAGCAGATGCTCGAGCAGATGTTCGAGTGAGCCTGAAGACCACTGGTCAACCTCTTGCATGCATAGCTCCTCCTGCACCGGCGAAATCTTTCGGAGCAACTTGGGTTTCCGCAAGTCATATACAGCAATCTCTCCGTTGTCGTCCCCTGCTGCCATCCTGTCGATGGCGCCTTCCATGATGATCTATCATTCCAGTGAGTGGGCAGCAACCTTGGCCACAGATCCGAGGATCGTACTTCGTTGACGTCATCGAAGTGTACGTCGTTGAACGCGAAGGCAGCTTTCCGGCTCACCAAGGCTGGGTCTCGTACATCGAAAAGAGAGATCTGCGGGTGAGAAGGAGAGAATGATCCAGTCAGTCTTTTCCGAGACATCAACGTGCAGCAAAGACGAATGACAACGAATGAACTCAAGAGACAACTGCTTCTCCTCCTCTACCTTGTTCTCGTACGCAACTCCGACCAAATGTTCAAAGTCCCCGGTGCCTGAGCAAACGCTGGAAACCTCTACCTATGTCGCGCAGGCTCAGGAATTACAGTATCCAGGCAGTGAGCATGACTGATAAGAATCTAGGCAGACCAACCTCCGTGTCACCCCTCTCCTGCCGCACAAGGAAACAACGGATGCTGCGGTTTCGCTCGAGGTCCCATAGACGTCCGGTTCCTGCCACAACAAGTCTGACGACGCTCCTCTACAGGGAAAAAGCTCTCTCCCTCCCTCCAATCCACCCCTCCCTCCCCCCCCCACCCCCCTCTCCTCCCCCACGCGCTCTCTCGCTCTCTGTCTCGTTCTCCCTCACTCACCGTCCTCGCTACCCGACAGCAGCTGGTCCTCTCCTCTCCTCCTCACCGACGTCACGCTCCCCTTGTGCCCTTGCAGCCTCCTGCCTCCATCCGCCATGCTTCCACTCATCCCCCTCAGTCCCGAGTCGCTTAGGACTCACTCCTGGACTCACTCACTGTCATCAGTCCCGGCCCGGAACCTGCCGGGTCCGACACGGATCATCGGATTCACAGTGTCAGTGTCAACTTGATCAGCGACCGTGCACACTGTTGAAGCCTACGGGCCGGGCCGTCCGGCCCGGGCCGCCACTGAGTCCGACCGGCGCAGTACCGTGAAACGGCCCGATCATCGGTGCCCGGCCCGGCGGTCCGGCTGACTGGTGTGACCGTCTCTGGCCGCTGAGTGAGCCATCCTCCTTCCGGACGGACAGTCTTCCCGCCGGGCCCCGCGACCGGGCCCGGTCGCTGCCAGGCCCAGTAGCACCGCCGGTAAGCTGTACGGCAGTAGTAAACAAAACTATATCATTGTATCAGTTTTTTTTTCAGTCACGGGGGGTTGCGATCACTCATGGGGAAAGGACTCAATGGTGCCATAAATGGAGGCGCCTCCATTGTTGTCACTTGAATCCCCGGAAGATTCTTCAAGAGGTTGGAGGGGTGGTGACACTATCTTGTGCAGGATGGTAGGGGTGATCACAGGGGAAATAGGGGGTGGTGGTGGCTAGATGTAACAGAGTAAAGGTAGGGTAATTTTTAAAAGAAAGTGCTCAATCTACTTAGGTGGGTAGGGGTGTGTTGGGGACCGTCGATTTAAAAGGTCAAAGGAAGTTCATCGGGGGGGTAGTGGCAGGAGGGGTGGTGGTGATCTTTTGGGGAAAGTTAGGGTGGCGTTTTGTTCAACAAGCGGGGAAGAAGAACAGAGCGATCGGAGAGAAAGGGTAAGGAGAAGAAGAAGCGGATAGACACGAGTGAAGTAGAAGCAAGCAAGACACAAGGACACAACGAGAAGAAACGATTGCTACAGAAGAAAGATACCCAGACTGAGCTAACTTCAAAGGACACGTAAGGAGGAAAGATGCCGGGTTCATCCTTTCTTATCCTCCATCATCTCGTTCTGCTGCTCCTCATTGACCTTGCCTTTCTTCCTCGCTGCCATGGGTACGCGTCATACATCGGCTGCTCAGGAAGCATCAGCGTGGGTACGAAATACCGGCATCATGGGACGGTAGCCTCCAGCAGCTCCGTCACGATTCGCTTGAGCTCTGCTGCTTGCGGGTCCTCTATCACAGCTGGATCGTCGCAGTCCATCAGCTTCCCCGCCTCAGGCGAGTACATCGTGAGGACTAGCTCAGGAGGCTGCGGGGTCAACTCAATCCCATCGGTGAGCCTTCCTAGCAGTGGGTCCTTTACTCTCTCAGCCGTGTGGAGCACGGGAGGAACAGTCTACCGGGTCCCAGACTGCACCTACACCATCGCACCAGCCTCTTGTCCGGCAGGACAGTACATGAGCGGCGGGTGAGCTCTGAGGTGCATGGACTTCATCTTCTGACACGCCTTGTCCTACAGGTCCTGCCAGTCGTGCCCGGCCCACTCAACGTCGCCCGCAGGAAGCACTTCTGCCAGCGCTTGTCAGTGCTCCCCCGGGTATGAGGGATCAGGCTGTACCGCATGCCCTGCCGGCACCTTCAAGGACTCCACTGGCAACTCACAGTGCAGCTCATGCCCTGCTGGCACATACTCAGCAGCTGTTGGTGCTACGTCCTCCTCTTCATGCCAACCATGTCGAGCGGGAACCTATTCCTCGTCGTTAGGAGCCACTTCAGCCGGAGTCTGCGTCGACTGCCCGGCCTCGTACTACTCATCAACTCCGGGAGCAACGTCTTCAAACACATGTGTCAAGTGCCCTCAGAGCGCGTTTCAGACTGATGCGGGCTCGTCTACTTGCAAGCACTGCGGACCAGGAACGTTCAGCCCAGACACAACATCCTCTATCTGCCAGATGTGCACTCCAGGAACGTTTTCAAAGAATGCGGGAACGACCTCAGACACGACTTGCACGCAATGCGCAGCTGGTTCATACGCTGCTGCCTCGGGATCCTCTACTTGCACTCTCTGTGCCGGGGGAACTTACAGTGGGAGTATCGGGGCTTCATCCTCCTCTGTCTGCCTGCCATGCAGAGCAGGGTCTTACAGCGAGCCAGGAGCAACGTCGTCCTCGTCGTGTCAGCCATGCAGGCCAGGAACGTACGCCAGCTCTATGGGACAGGCCCAGTGTACAGCTTGTCCTTTGGGGACTTACATGAACGCGACAGGATCCACCTCAGCTTCCGGTTGTCTCTCCTGCTCTCCCGGAAGCTTCTCCGACGGTCCCTCAGCCTCCTGCTCTCTGTGTCTTGAGGGGACTTACCAGGCGAACGCGCAAGCGTCCTCGTGCGACTCGTGCCCGTCAGGCATGACGTCGCTCGTCGGCTCCTCGTCCTGCAACATCTCGCTGAAGGACTTGTCCTGGGGGAAGTTTGACATGTCGACGGCCAGTAAGGTTGTGACGCTGACGCTGAGGTTCCCTCTGATCACCTCAAACTTCACCTACGACAAGGCCCTCCTGTCTCGCAAGGCGATCGCTCTCGCGTCTGGCGTCCAGCTCGACTCCATCGAGATCCAGAGCGTCGCCGCGGGCCCGACCTCACGCAGGAGCTCGTCGACAGACGTGGAGTACTTGATCGACGCCACGAGCTCAGACCCGAGCAAGGTGTTGGCGATGCTCGACGCCGGGAGGATCAACACGGCCCTGGCCGTCTACGGTCTTCCTCTTGTGCAGGTTCAATCCCCCGCCTCCTTGAAAGGCAGCCTTCCTTCCACCACCCCATCATCCTCCAACAGCTTTCAGCTGTATGTGTATGGCTGCCTTGTCGCTCTTGCTGTGATACTGGGAGGGGTGATCGTCTGCTTCTGCGTCTACAACAGGAGAGGATGCTGTGAGGCTAAGCTGGAGGAGAGGCAAGCGAGAAAGAGGCTGTCGACCAGCATCGCTCCTCTTCTACCCATCACCATCAGCAATGCGGCGGTCCCCAAAAAGCCCGAAGAGAGAGACCTGGAGATGGGAGAGATCCACTCGCTTGACCGGAGCTCTTGTCAGCTAGTGTTCCAGGTCGACGGCATCGCTCTCCTCAAGAAAGGCGAGCTTGCGATCGAGAAGACGCTCTCGAGCAAGAGCCAGTCGAAGTCAATCTATCAAGCGATGTGGAAGCAGCAGGGAGGTAAGATCCGGACGGTGACGGTGACGTCCACCAAGGACAAGGGGGACAGGCTGCATGAGAGTGCGTGTCTGCGCGACGCTGTGAGGAAGGCAGGCAAGCACGAGCACATCGTGGAGCTGCTGGGAGTAGCGCAGAACGAGCCCGTGGGCTTCAACTCGCTGGTCATGGAGTTCTCCTCCATGGGATCGCTTGACCGCGTCCTGCAGACGGCCAAGGCAGGTGGGAGCGGAGTGAGCAACGTGGTGCTGGTGGAGGCAGCGAAGCAGGCATGCGAGGGGATGCTGCACCTGCATCAGAACGGCATCATCCACTGCAACCTCGCGGCTCACAACCTGATGGTGATGAGCTTCCATGCCAGCGACTACCGGAGCGTGCGCGTCAAGGTCGCCGACTACCTCTCCTCGCTCTTCCTTCCCCGCCGGGGGGAGAGGACGCAGGGGCGCGTGAGCTCGAGGGAGGACGACGTGCGGTGGCAGGCGCCGGAGACGATCTCGTCGGGGACGCACTCGTCCAAGAGCGACGTGTGGTCGTACGGCATCGTGCTGTGGCAGATCTGGTCCATGGGATCGCTGCCCTTCCCCCACCTCAAGACGCCGCGAGAGGTGAAGGACCGCGTGCTCCGAGGAGAGGTCCCAGGAAGGCTGCCCAGCTCGACGTGTCCTGACAAGGTGTACTCGACCATGGAGCTGTGCTGGGGGCAGCAGCCGCACAAGCGAACCTCGTTCCTGCTGCTGCGAGCGATGCTCAAGGAAGTAAACCGTGAGGTGCTGGTGAGCAGGGAGCCCAGGAAAAAACGCGGGGGTAAATGATATTGAGCTTTTGATTTTTTTCTAGTTGTACATTCTTGTGGTTTATGTTTATAAACTTTCAATTTTCCCGTCTGCTTGCGTCATCCTACCATCTCAGCAGCACAGCGAGCGCAAGAGGGCAGGGAGTTTGTAACTGTCCTCCCTCCTCACCCTTCGCTCCTCTCCCCCCAGCCCCCCTGCACTCTCCCTCCTCTCCTCCTGCCCGGCTTCTTCACGGGTTGGTCCTGCTTCACCAGCTGGGCCTCTGCTTCTTGTTCCTCGCAGAAGCGAGAGAGGAAGGGAAGATCCTCGCTCGCTCGCTCGCTTCCACCCACCCGTCGAAACCTGCACCCCCTTGCATCCGCCACGTACTCGAGCTGCACTTGATCTAACGAGGACGTAGAGGAGGAGGAGGAGGCAGAGCTGACTTCTTCCTTGCCCAAGGGAACAGCATACACAACCCGGAAGGGGTCGTGGAAGCCGCTGCGAGCTATGAGATACACGTGGGAGACGAGGAACGAAGACTTCTCCCAGCTCGCCTCTAGCTGGGCTATGGGTGGGCCTTCTAGCGTCTTCCATTGCCCGAGGGAGAGGTGAGGAACAAACCGCTGGAACCTCGCAATGCTGTCGTCGCAATGCGGGAAGGCCTGCAGGAGGAGGCGGTAGAGTTGCTGTAGCGGAGCATCCTCCTCCTCTCCCCTCGCCCCCGCCTGCTCCTGCTTCTCAGCTGCACCGTCCTCAGGCTTGAGCCACAGCGTGTGGCTGTACTTGGAGTGCTGAAAGCTGCTCATGCTGGCAAGGCTCACAGTGAAGGGCTTCATCCTCCGCAGCGCCTGCTCCGCCCTGGCGGCTGCAACAGGAAACTCATGCTCGGGGACGAAGGGGTAGAGAACGTTGACGTGCGGGGGCCAGCGGAGGAAGCTCTTGTCGTGAACTGACCGAATCTCCTGCATGCTCGGCCACAAGTCGCCAGGAGGGATCAGGCAGAGAGCGCTCTGCACGACCTTTGAGGGAGAGGACGAGGACGAGGAGGAAGCTTTCTGCTCCAGAGGAGGTCGAGCTTGTTGATCCCTGCGCGCTCCCTGCTGCCCCCTCGCGCTTCCCCTGCTGCTGTCTCCCTCCTCCTCCCTTCCTCCAGGTTGCCGACTCTCTTTGCCCTGCTGTGAAGGAGCGCTTGAGATTCCCACCTCCTCCTCGGGCAGCTCGAGATGTCGCACGACGACATCAAACCTGCTCCTGTCCAGCTTCTCCTGCATGGTGATGGCAAGGGACACAGAGCGATGCTTGCCGCCATGGCACCCAAAGAAGATCGCCACCTCCTCCTCCTCTCCCCCTCCCTCCCTCCCTCTCTCGATGAAATCAAGACTCTCCTGCAGCAGCGCCTGAGCTTTCCCGTCCTCCATTACGAACTCGCGTACGCAGAGCTCGCGTCCCGTCCTCTCTCGCAAGCTTGCTTCATGGTAGGGGTTGCGCTCAATGCTGCGACAGTCAAGAACCCTGACGGCAGACTCCCCAGCTGCTGCTCCTACTTCTGCTCTGTAGCTCTTGAGGATCTGCTCTTCGTTCCGATTCTTGTAACCGAAGGAAGTAAGTCGAACTCGACGTCTCCTTCGTGCTCCTGCTCCTGCTCCTGCTCCTGCTCCTGCTCCTGCTCCTGCTCCTGCTCCTGCTCCTGCTCCTGCTCCTGCTCCTGCTCCTGCTCCTGCTCCTGCTCCTGCTCCTGCTCCTGCTCCTGCTACACCTGCTCCTGCTCCCGCTCCCGCTCCTGCTCCTGCTCCTACTCCCATTGCCCGAGATGCGTTCCATCGTAGAATCTTGTCTGCAAGGAGGAGAGGGATCTGATCTCTGTTCTGCTCCGTCAGCCGGATCAGCTCGACTCCTCGCATCCTCTTCGCCTCTTCGATTAATCCTCCTCCCTTCTCGGCGATCGTCGCCACCGCAAACATCTCGTTATGCTGCAGACTCCGCGTCAAGATACGTCGCATCCTGCTGCTGAAGGTTTCGGATAGGAGCTCCATTCTCCCGATCTCATCCACAAGCACCACGTCTCCTCCTCCTCCTCCTCTCTCATCCACTATGCTCAAACTTGTTCGCATGCTGTCTTCCATGCCCGGAACGTTGATGGCGTACCTCCCCACAGTCGGCAACTCCCCGGTTTCTTCTTTGTCATTGAGCGTGGCCATGCGCGTCTCTGCTCCTGATCGCACGTCGAGCAGAGAGAACCCGGAGCGACGTCCTCTCCCGTCCCTCTCCTCCCTCGTGATGAAGCCATGCAGCCCCGCCGCCTCTTCGCCCTGCCCCCAACCACTGTGCATGCGCAAGCCTGGTGTGAACTTGACATTCCATGGCGGCAGCGGAGGAAGAGGAGGAGCTTGAAGAGAGGATCGGAGAGGGGGAGGAGGAGGAGGAGGAGGAGACTGCAGCATGGCTAGCAGGCGCAGCATAGCGCTCGTCTTACCGCATGCTGGCGGTCCTGTCAGCAGCACAGCCGGCATGGCGAGTTAGGACCTTATCGGACTTTTGAACTAGGGGGTTAGATGCGTAGATTATCTTGAGCAATCGGGGGTGGGGTGGTCGCAAGGGCATATAAAGAGGAGAGGCGGGGGAGGAGAGGAGAAGTGGAGGGGGGGGAGACGGAGGAGGAAACGACAGACGAGAGAGGAACGAGAGGATACCGAGCAGGAGGTCAAGAGGACAGTAAGAAACAGGAGGTGAAGCACATCAGGATGAAGGATAGAAACTGTACTAGAGGTGCACTGGAGCATGACTCTAAAGCGATGGCAGGGCAGGATGGCAGAAGCTTTCAGCAGGACGGCAATGATCGTAAGTGATGCGGAGGAAAGTTCTTCTAGGCTGACACGTGCTCCAGAGTCTCTACCGTAAGATACTCCGTCTGCATAAACGCGTCCTGCCGAATGTGAGCAATAACCTCAGTTCACCTCTGCTACTCCCCCTCCCCCTCCCATGCCCCCCTCCCTTTCCCTTTCCCTTTTCCTCTCTCCCTCACCCCCTCTCCCTCCCCCTCACCCTCCCTCCTTTTCTCTCTCCCTCTTCCCATCTCCTCCTCCCTCTTTCTCTCTTTCTCTTCCCCTCCATCTCGTCCTTCCCCCTCGCCCTCGCCCGTTCCTCTCGTCCCTCGCGCATCGCAGTGGCATCTATCTGCGCCATTGAACGTCCTCTGCTCTCTCCCCCCCTCCTCGTCTGACAGCGTGTGGGGCAGGAGATGAAGGAGCTCGGGGACTCCTATGTGAGGAGCGAGTTCAAGCAGCACAAGAAGGCCAAGGTGGGGGAGGTGAAGGTGTTTGCGCGGCAGTGGAAGGAGTATCTCTACACCATCGAAGCTCAGGCAGCCAGTGGGACCTTTGGGCGGAACTTGCGGGAGGAGGAGGCAGCGCACTTGAACCAGGAGCAGAAAGAGAACCTGAAGAGACTGGAGGAGGAGGCGAAGAGAGCGGGGGAGAACTGAAAGAATCAGTCGATGAGGGGGAGATGAGAGGAGGACACGTCAACAGGAGATATCCAGGGAGAACTACATTGAGCAGGTGGGGAGGGAGGAAGCGAAGCTGGTGATGGTGGTTGTCATGTTCACAGGGAAGAAAGAAGGGGGTGGTGAAGAGCAAGGGAAGGAGGAGGAAGAGGAGGCGGCGGCGGAGGAGAAGGAGGAGGAGGAGGAGGAGGAGGAGGAGGAGGAGGAGGAGTAAACGAGAGAATCATCGGAAGTGGTTGAGTTTATCGTCCTCATCTACATCCTTGTCCTCTACTTGCCGAACCCTTTGCTCGCAGGCTTCTTGTCCTTCTTGCCCTGGCGTTTCGTCATGGAACACTCGCATGGGGAAAGGGCAGGGAAGGGAAAAAGTGGTCTGAGAAGAGGTGGAGAGTAGAGGAGCAGGAAATCTGGAGCTGGAGGTGAGTAGGAGAAGTTTGTTCCACCTTTGCGGCCTTGCGCCTAAGAGAACGATTTCCGAAGGCCATGGAGGGATCCATCTGAAGCGCGAGTGAGAGAGCAGCAGAAGCAGCAGAAGCAGCAGGAGCAGCAGCAGGAGCAGCAGCAGCAGCAGCAGCAGCAGCAGCAGGTGAAGCAGCAGCAGCAGGTGAAGCAGCAGCAGCAGCAGCAGCAGCAGCAGCAGCAGCAGGGATCTTTCATTACCTCGGCATTTGGCATTGGAGGCCCTTGACCTGCTGCCTGTGCACCCATAGCCATCTAGCAGCAGGTGAGAGGAGAAA